GCTCACTTCGTGCCGGGTGCGGTCGCTGCCGGTGCTTTCGCTGCGGGCTCGGGCGCCAGCCGCGGTGGCCACTCCCGGGGAGAGGATAGTCTCGAGGCTGCTGTTGCTGCTGTTGCTGCTGTTGCTGCCGCTGCTGCCGCTGCTCAACTGGCTCACGAGGCGCTCCTTCACCGGAGTAATGGACGTCGCGATGTGCTCCTCTAACAGAGCCAGCTGGGACATGGACAAGGGGTCGCGCCCGATCCTCGCGTCCCGCATCCGGGCCATCATCCGACGGACGTGTGTGGTGAAGAAGCGGAGCCTACCCAGCTTCGAGTCTGTGCCCGCCTTGCCGCTGTCGTCTGTTGCATGCAGCAGAGCAAAAAACACCGGCAGCAGCGGAGACACGAATTGTTGACAAGAGCAAAAAGCAAGAGTATATCCCCCTTCGACTGCTGTGGTTATGGGTAGTCTTTCTTTGGTTGTATACGTATGTATACTTCTAAAAAAAGAAGAGTCCTACCATAAATACTGTGAAGCGACAACGTTGTCGTCCTACGGAGACAAACCAACAATCCACGGTGGCGCCCAGCGCATATATGAACAAAAGGAAGGAGTTGGTCAGTGGCGTTGAGACAGCTGCGATCGAGCTTATATAGTGGTGAGCTTTTCCCGGTCAGGGTAAGCAGGTGCCAGGGCGAGACCAACATTGAACATCTTCGCATACCATAGTCGGAAAGATCAATGCCAGACTTGAAGGCGAACGGGTTACACTGCCGGACCCCGCAGCATATCCTACGAATTACCGCCTTTCTTTGATTATTGTTCGGGTTTCGGACACACGGCAAAGAGAGGTAGAAACTGCATGCCAAGGTATGGTGGTACAACTTTTTCTCGCCAATTCCCACTCTGCGTGCGTTTTTTTGTTCTTTCCACCCCGAAGATCTCTGGTAGGTACTTCTCGCCAAACCCTTCTCCGCGTGCATTCTTTTCCACCCAAAGATCTCCTTTCTCTCCACTACATTTTCTAGTAAAGATATCCCAACTGCGTTCATGCGCACCAAGGTCTGCAGAGACAAAAACACGTCCGACGCGTGTCGACGTTGTCGTGGAGTCCGACAGACTAGTGGACCCACCTTCTCCAAACGCACTCACACGTACGCAGCAAATGAGGAAGTACACGACATATTCCAACTTTGTGTGCGAAGCCGTTTCGCAAAACAGTTGCGCCGGTCTGCTGTCCACATGATCGACTTGGAGACGTTTTTCACCGCAACAAACAGGACGGCATCTATTGCTGCTGGTCGAGAAGACGCACGCAAAGCAACCTCAATGGCCGTATGTACATACAGCAGTATCCAGACCTGTGCATATCGGGAGAGGGAGAGAGATGATGTTTCCTCAATGCAGGAGAGACTTGAGTTGTGCTCTGACTAGGGGAGGGCGAAAGAGACCAATTCGTTGAAAGAGAGAGTGAAGAGAGACATCAAAGTTTTTCCCGCATCAGCACGACTTGCTGACCTGCTTCGCAACTCCTTTCAACAGAGCGCTGAGCCACCCAAACATTAATGGCAGAATACTAATACTGCTGTGTACATTCAGTAGTCAACGCACTATCGCCCCGGTGGTCTAGTGGGTAGCCTCCCAGCCTGGTAAGGGCCAGGTCATGGGTTCGAGTCCCGACAGAGTGAGTTTTCTCTTGCTAATTAAATCCTGGTCTCCGCTGGAAGCGACACGCCAAAGCTCGTTGTTAGTAAACTTGATCGACTTCATAAGTCGCTAGGGAAGGGATTGCTATACCCTTCTCGCGGTAAAAATATCTCAGGCAGGAACCGCAGGAGGGGGTCCAACCCCCCCCCTCCTGTGTGACCCCGGTTGGGTCGTCTAGCTGGTAGAAGTGGAGGATAGGGGCCAGAGGGGCAGACGACAGAGTCCAATGAAGGGAGGAAAAAAAAAAAAACGTGAGTCCGCACTCGAATCTATCCATAACTGCCCTACAACTATGCCACATGATGGGATTTGACAGCACCTGGATCTAAGTAGGTGTACTGTACAACGTGCTTGTCGTTCGGCGTTGCATAAATGGCATGACGACGGCCAAGACTCACCCCCCGCCTGCACTGCTGGGGCCACCACGACCTCCAGCTTCGAAAACTCGTCCGAGAGGAACTGAAGATCTCCGAAGGACTTGTCCATGAGTATACCTAGCTGTTGGTCAAAAAAAAAAAAAAACGTAAAAATGAACACACCAGCAAAAAGTAGCAGAAGCAGCGGCAGCAAGAAGCTGGTCAGACGTTCGTGTGAAGTAGATCGGTAGACGAGGTTGATAGCGAAAGAAGCGCATTTCGGTGTGTACTGCGGCTTCATGCACAGGTCATACGGCGGCTGCCCTTGGCTGGATTCGTTGCCCCTCGTCGTGCTGAGAGGTGGTTGTGTTCGGTTCAAAAATTGCATTCACCCGAAAGAGGCAGCGGAGGCTAAATCAACATTGGACAGAGAGAGGGAGAAAAGGTCGACGTGTCAGCTATATTCATGATGCCAAAACCACAGCAGCAGTGTAGACCACGCTTCCCTCCTAGTTTGAAGTAGCAACTGCAACGTTTACGAGAGCCACGTTCGTCGGATCCGGAGGAGAGGGAGCGTAGCACGCTTAGCACGAAAACACAGAAAGCTACCGGTGCGGTTCATCATGAGCGCGGATTTGCACAGCAGGTGGCCGGAAGAGAGGGAGAGGTGGGTTGCGTTGTTGATGGACCTCCGCACGTGTTCGAAATCTCAGACAAACACATGTAAATAGCGGACAGCAACAGCCAGCAGAAAAACATGCACACACGCGTACGCTGGCGAGGATGCACGGATTCCTTACCCGTCTTGATACCTCCGAGTCGGGCCTGGCTTGCACACCACCCAATGCAACGCCACCATTTGTCGGATCATCGTCATCGCTCGAGCGCTTTAGAGCCTGGTCGAGTTTGCTAGTTGCACGCCGAGTAACCGGCATTCCGCTGCTGCTGGATGGAGAGGGTTGGGCACAACCGCACCGCTCCCGATTCCTCTTGCGACCGCTGCCGCTGCTGCTGCCGCCGTGGCCGATGGCTTTCGTCGGGTTGTCCTCGGGCGTTCCTTGGGCACGGCCGAGTCAAACATTCACGTGGGTGTGATCGTACTCGTATGTACGTGTACGTCTGTGCGCAAACTACAACCGGCACATCGCGACGCTGGACATACACTTATTTTGCAGAATGCAACATAGCACCTGGAGTATGTCGTTTCACAGATGATTCACCGGAGCCCCTCCGAGAAATGGAGAAATGTGGTGGCAGGTGCTGTGCCCTCCTTGCTGTGTGCACTGCTCTGCGTTGCTGTGTCCGGCGAAGCAAATCAAGATGGCTCTCTCGATTAGGCAGGCGACAGTGGATGACCTCATCCAGATGCAGACGGCCAACCTGTGGTGCCTGCCGGAGAACTACCAGATGAAGTACTACCTCTATCATGTCCTCTCCTGGCCTCAGCTGCTCTTCGTTGCCGAGGACCACAAGGGTGAGCGCGAAGAGCGAAGAAGACTCGATGTTGTATGCACCAATTCCCGACCAGCTAAAGCAGCAGTACTGCTGCAAGCCGCAGTGGTGACGCTTGTTCATGCTGCACTGCTTCTGAGGAACCGCGTTCTACTGACCGATGCTGGTACGCTACCGTACATACGTGTTCACTACTTTGTTTTGTTCACACACAAAACGCTGTAGACTAAAATGTAGACAAGCAGCAGTAGACAACAGCGGACACCTGGACGAAACTCCCGGCGTCCTGCTAGAGTGATCAACACACGCTCGTCCTCGTCTCAGCGATGCCCTTGCCCACTGCAGCAGTGATTGTTTGTTTCTCGAGAGACACACCATACTCTGTGCACATCTGAAGAAGCAATGTATGTACTTCATCAATGTTCACCACTGCAGCTATCTATCCGCCCTTTGGGCGATGTGATCCAAATCTGTCGCTTTTCCTCAGGCTGCGGTCTGGACTAAAATTAAGTTGGGCTATTCTTGTTTTCTATTTGTCGATAAAAATACGGGGCCGCGATCCCGTAGTTTGCCTCACGTGCGGTTTACAAGCCCGCATACAGCAGTAGTCGTGGTTCGGAGGCTACCCTCTAAAATCCTCTTAGGGCGCACTGGGCATCGCAGGTCTCCTCTTTCAAATCCAGGAATCGCCTCCATATCTCAGTTTCTCAAAGTCTACTTCCAGTACGAAACTTCAATCGCAAATTAATCGTCCGCCGACCCCCCTTCGTAGACAATTTTAGTATCTGAGATTGTAGCCCTTGCAATACACTGTAGACTAGCGGTTCGCGATTTCCCAAACGATCCTTATACCATCGAGATCGGTGAGCTACAAGCAGGATTTTTTAACCTTTGTGTGACTACACCCACGAATGAGCTCCGTTCCCAGCTCCGATGACTCTTTAATGCGACATTATCGAACCGAATCGAGCCCGAATTGAGCTGTGTATACCTGCGTCGACGATGGCTGGACTGGACGAGTAGACCGTCGAAAAGGAACGAAATAACGACGGGGACAGCAGCAGTAGCGTCCCCTACACAATGGTACCCGCAGAGACCGGGGTGCTGCTGCGCCGCGGTCTTCCTTTTTCCGCAAGGTTCCTGATCTCGGGCAGGGGCTGCGGCTCTGCTGCCCCGTGTTGACAGTAGCGCTGTCCTACCGCCCGGGCTGCAGCAGCCGTGGCGTCGGGAAGTTAGTCTGGCGTGGAGTTTGCGATCGCCAGCAGCTCATCCCAGACAACACGTGGAGCCGTCTCGGGATGCCATTGGTCTGCTATGTGCTGCCAAAACTGAGCAACTTCCTCTGGGTCCATGATGATGGTAGTGATTGGGTTACTTCTGCTGCTGCTGTTGTGCCTTAAGGCAGAGAGGTACGAGCGGCAAGGAGACTATCGTCCCCGGCCACTTTTCGCTCACAATAGCAAGGGTGTTCGGGACTACAGCTCCGATCACAGCTCCGATCGTCCCGCTCTATCTGTAGTGTAGAAATAGATAATTTTGCACGATTTTATTCTATTTGACCCGATATTTTGTTATGTTGCGATTCGCACACACGGCAGTTGGTTGCATACTTCAGACTTTTCTTCGTTTTGTCCCCAAGTTATCGCTGGCGCACAGGAGTAAGGGTCCACCTTGCGATGCCTCTCGACGGGTCCCCTTTACGTATGCGTATCGGCGTCTCTTTTCAACCGAATGTCATACCACGAGGCCTGCTGCTACTGCCACTGCTGCTGCTTCTGCTGCTGGAGTGCTGCCGACGGTTGGATGTTTTTTCGTGTTTTTTCCCGAGGTCACATTCGTTCGTGCGTGGACATGTCTCGTCGCTCCCAACGAAGGAGCACTGAAAGTGGAACGTTGGGAGGTGCCAGGCCTCGTAGTGTGGTGTATTTTTTTGTTTATGTTGTGTTTGAAGTTCTTGCCTGCGGTGTGACGCAGATGCGGTACAGTATGCTTGTCGTTGAGCTCGATATGCGTGTACGTGGTTGCTGGTGGTTCATGCATCGTCTGGGAGATGAGTTTGGCGCGTTCAGTCCCCACGTAGCTGAGATACGGTTGGTGATCAAGTGATGGATATTTCGAAGTGTAGCTCTGGACGTACTCATGTAGTTCGTTTGTTTTATCCTTTGTGTTTTGCCTCGTCTTTTCAGTAACTTGACCGCGAGATTTTGTTTTTGCCTGTAGTCTCAAAACAGTTGAAAAACGAAATGCGGTAGGCTCCATTCGTGTGTTTCGTGTTCTTTGCGGAATGCGCTGCTTGAGTGTCACGCGCACTGAAAAAATTCGCAACACAGTTACAGTGCATCGCTTTGTGGAGTGTTTCCATCCTACGTTACCGTGCATTACCGTGGTGGATTACCGTGGTGGGCCGTTACCGCGGCATTACCGTGGTGCCGAGTTACCACCCAAATATTACCGTTCATTCCCGTGGTGACTAGCTCCCGTACGGGAGTTACCGTGCTGGGCGTTCACCACCCAATCGTTACCGTGCATTACCGTGATGGCCAGTTACCACCCAAATATTACCGTGTATTACAGTGTTTGCTGATTCCCGTACCGATCGTTACCGAATTGAGAACTCGTTCCCGAGAGGAGCCTTGGAAATCGCTGACCGTTAGTCTACAGTGTATCGCAAGGGCTACAATCTCAGAGTACTGACATTGTCTACGAGGAGGGGTCAGCAGACGATTAATTTGCGATTGAAGTTTCATTTTAGAGTTAGACTTTGGAAAACTGAGATATGCATCGTTTCCTGGATTTTGGAAGAGGAGACCTGCGATCCCCAGTGCGCCCTAACAGGGGGCTCGCATGTTTCGGGTGTCAAAATCGATTGTCACGACACGACCCGCTATTAGAAGTAGTTGGGTACGCTCCGATTTTAGAGGGTCGAGGGCCTTCGTCACACCACCGTCATAAACCATATCGGAGCCACGACTGCTGTATTCGGTTTGCAACAACTGTTGTAGGGCTTACAGACCCTACGTTACAGGAGCAAAATCACGCCGGTCACGTCGAACGATGCCCGAGCGGGAAAATGTAGGGGGGGCGTGTGCTGTAGTCCCTTGACACGCTCGAGAGGTAATCGCATGTCGAGCAGTGCCATCGGGACCATGTGGCAGATTTTTCCTTGCGTTTGTCGCGCGTCTGACCCCCCCCCCCCCCCCCCCCCCCCCCCCCCCCCCCCCCCCCCCCCCCCCCCCCCCC